ATCCATGACCCCTTCAGTTTTGAGGAAATCACCGGGGGATTTGACCAGCTCTCCAACCGCTTCGCCCAGGAATTGTCTGGGACAATCCGTTTAAACAGCAGAGTGGAGAAGATTGTTCGCTCAGACGAGAAGGTGAGGGTGTTTTTCCGCAAGCTGGAGAAAAACGCCCTGTCGTGGTTGACTGCCGACTACATCCTTGTCACATCCACAGCGAGAGCCACACGACTCATCAGATTCCAGCCGCCTCTTTCCCACTCCAAGGTTCACGCCTTCCGCTCCTTCCATTATGCCAGCTCGACTAAAATCGCCTTGGCCTGCACAGACCGGTTTTGGGAGAAGGATGGCATTCGAGGAGGGAGGTCAATGACCGACCACCCTTCCAAAGCCATCTACTACCCTAACCATAACTTTACGAGTGGCCTGGGGGTCCTTCTGGTTTCTTATACTTCACATGATGATGCCGATTTCTTTGTTCCCCTCAGTGAGGAAAGGTGCCTTGATGTAGTAATGGATGACCTCTCAGAAGTCCACAATATATCCAAAGGTTATCTGAAATCAGTTTGCAACAGACACGTGATTCAGAAATGGGCCCTTGATGAGTTTTCCATGGGGGCTTTTGCTTCTCCCACCCCGTACCAGTTCAGCCACTTTTTCAAGAGTTTGTTCCGGAACGAAGGGTGGGTCTACTTTGCCGGAGAACACACAGCCCACCCTCACGGTTGGATTGACACCGCCATGAAATCTGCCATCCGGGCAGCAAGTGGCATTCATTTCAATCAACCTGTATTGTAGGCTTTGGGAAAACATGACTCTATGATGCAATATTCTTTACCAAATTGGTGGGCTACCTATTTGATTAGAAAGTAATCAAATGGCCTTCCTGCCATCATCTATGTTTAAGGTGAATATTCACCATGTAGAAAAAGGTTTTCTTATAGCTTGAGGGTGGGGGAGAAAATAGAGTCCAAATCCACATCGCAGACGTTTCCTGGTTCTTGTGAAGCACAGAAGAAGATATTGTCCAGAAATAGCAATAAGGGGAACACCTGATGATTTTTTAAAATTTTCTCTCTGTGGAGGAACATCAATGGAAACAAATTTTCTAGAAGTTTATTCAACTGTGGTAATTTAATAAAGTGGGTAATGTGACTAGGAGGGCCGCTTATCCATTGCCGTGGAAGGAAATAAAAATAACTCATCACACGCACACCAAAAATCCACCAATGTACATAAAATTTTAGCTGCACATTTAGCAGTTGTAACTGTATTATAATCAAAGCACAATGTATCTCAGTGTATTAGCAAGGAAGGCTGTCTCCAGGTGCTGACGGCTGAGAGGACCAACTTCCAGTCCCTTGTCTTTTCTCCTTTGATGCGGTTCTTTACTATTGAACGATGTGGACTTGCCAGCCCTTCAAGAAGTTGGTTGTTTTGTATAAACGCCTTACGGGTTTCCAGTTGTGTCAATACATGTTTATTGTTTAGATAGTCCAAGCTTTAAATGGCGATATCCTGTGCCATCTTCTCCTCAGGGAAGATATCAATTAAAACAAAGCTAACCTTGAATACACCAAACTAGATTCAAAACCAGTCTATCCACTTTACAAAACAAAGGCTTCCAGCAAGCACTGAAAGTAACACCATTGTTTCTGTTGATGGAATTTGGCTCAGGTTTATCAAGAGAGCCTCAATACTAACTTTATCCCAGCAATTGGCCAATATTTTTACAAGTTGGCTGTTGTTGTTTGTGAAGGACAGAAGAGCAGTGTGCCGTCCTCTACCTCGCAACACCCAGTGGAAGAGAGTGGATGTGCGGAGGGGATACTCATAGAGATAGAACAGGAAGAGGTTAAACCCACGACAGCCTCAGAGGTGTGTCTAGTGGATGAGGAAGGGGAGGAGTTAGATCTAATATTATGGGAGGATATAAAAGAGGGGGAAAGCGCGCAGATATTCAATTTGACAACTGACGGAGCATTGTTGGGGAGAAAGAGTCGCGGGGTGCAAACGGAGCCCCTGCGTGACTTGGAGGACTCTACGGGCCTTATAAAGGACTTTCCGAATCTACAGCTAGGAGGAGGTCTGTTACCCGAACCTAGCCTGGGCAACTTGAAAGGGAGGGCGTTAGATCCTCTAGAATGGACGGTTGTCGTTTTCCCACGCAATCAGTGTGGGGGATGGAGGGTGATCCGTCCCAGTCCCTCTTTTCTCCAGCAACCACCCGAGGGGGACTGGGCTCGTCACCTATGTTGTGGGATGGTCTGTGCTGTGAGGAGCACCCTCTTGAGACCTATGATGGACAGGGAGCGCTTTGGTCCGACCCCTCTATAAGGAGCGATTGGAAGACCCCTGATGTTAGAGTTTATAAAGTTCTGCCAGAGTTAAGTTTGTTGGATCCTTTTGATACTGTTACATTGAACTGTTCTAAAAATAAAGAAGCTTGTGTTAAAAGATCTGAACCGCCTCCGCTCCTCCTTCCCTCCCAAAACCAAGGCGGGCCTCCGGCTGAAGACGAACATGTTCACATTGTTACATGCCATCAAGTCACTCGACTTAAGCCTAACCTATGAATGAGCAAACTCCAAAATTCCCTGTCTTCAACAGTCCTGCTCAGCAAGTGTAAACTCAAGCCTGTGGGTCATTTAGAGAGTTGAAGTCCAAGAACATTTGGAGGCCCATGGTTGGGGACCACTGATTTAGGGAGTCAGTCCATCACATATTCGGTCTTCCTCTTTTCCTGCTGCTTTCAACTTTTCCCAGTATTATTGTCTTTTCCAGAAAATCATGGCTTCTCATGATGTGTCCAAAGTAGGACAGCCTGAGTTTCAACATTTTGGCCTCCAGAGATGGTTCAGGCTTGATTTGATCTAGGATCTGCTTCTTCATCTTTCCGGCAGTCCAGGGTATCCACAAAGCACCACTCCTGTCAATTTTCTTCCCTTTCCAGCTTTCACACCCATACGTAGAGATCAGAAATACAAAAGCATGGATGACCTTGGCCATGATCTCCAATGACATCCTTACACTTGATGGTCTTTTCTGATTTCTTAATTGCTGCCACTTCTAGTCTTAATCTTCTTCTGCTTTCTTGGCTGCATGACCTCAAGGCGTAGGGCCCTTCAAGCAGAGGAACCAGAGTATATTTCTAGAGCTCACTTCCCCCATCAACTTGCCTGGACTCTCCCCAGTGTTCGTCCCCTAAATAGGAAACTGGGCCTTCTATAAGCTTGAAGGAAGGAGCTGTGATTTGTCATTTAAATGTAATTTCAATCCTTCCAGTCCAGAAAAGGTTTCTTTTCCGTAGAAATTAGAAGTAACAACAACTACATTAAATGGCAGATTTCCTCTCCAAGGCTCCTGGGAACACAATAAGTCTGTCTTACTAATTTTTTTAAAGTAGCATAGACAAATATGGGCATCTGTGTGGCCTGCCAAGGCCCAGGAGATGGCAAAAATAGCCTCCAGACCCGCAGAAATTACTTATGAAGATTCTTCTACCAGTTCACCATGTTAGTCCTCTTGTTTGCTATCGTAGTAGTAGTAGTAGTAGTAGTAGAAGAGACTCTGTGGATCATTGAGTCCAGTCCCTATCAAGGAGGCATAGTGGGGAATTTAACTCTCAACTTGTCTCCATACCCAGAGACCTTAAACC